TGTGTTTGTCTGTCCTTTTTCTGATCATCGCTCTGTTAGTGTCACTATCTCTCTTCCCGATGCCGTTCCCCCTGGCCCCGGTTTTTGGAAGTTGAACGTGTCTATTTTGGAGGATACTGAATACCTCTCTCTAATTGAGGACGCCTGGGCGTCATGGCGGCAGTCTATCCCTCGCTTCCCCTCATTGGAGAAATGGTGGGACCGCGGGAAAAGACTTATCAAAGGGCTCACCATCCGCTATTGCTCCGATAAGTCTAAAGTTACATCTGCAAATCGGAACGTCCTCGTCCGTCTTATTGATCATTTAAGTGTCAAACTTGATCAGGGCATGACGTCTTCCTTAGAGCCTTATCGCGCTGTCCTTACCGAGCTTGCGACGAGGGACACTCATCTTGCCCAAGGTGCCCAAGTCCGTTCGCGAGCCCGATGGGTTGAGGAGGGTGAGACTTCATCTACCTACTTCTTACGCCTTGAGCGTAAACAGGCTGCCAAACGACATATATCTGCGTTGAGACAGAGTGATGGCACCATTGTCTCTTCCCTTGTTCATCTCCGTAGTTCTTTCTTGTCTTTCTATACTGACCCTTTCACAGCCTCTCCCACAGACCCTGATGCTCGGTCTGGTCTCCTGGAGAACCTTACCTCAAAACTCTCCGGAGCGCAGTCCGTTTCATGTGAGGGTGTCATCACCTTAGATGAGGCTTTTCTTGCACTCCACGGGATGGCTCGTCGTAAGTCGCCTGGCCTTGATGGCCTCCCGTGCGAGTTTTACCTTAAATTTTGGCATGTTCTTGGTTCTGACCTTGTTTCTGTTTTCAACTCCTGTCTTCTTTCTGGTCGCCTCTCTCTGTCCCAGCGCAGTGGCGTTATCTCCTTGTCTTTTAAAAAGGGGGACCGTCTCGACCCCCGGAACTGGAGATCCATCAGTTTACTCAATGGGGATTATAAGATCGCCTCCCGATGTGTCGCCGGCCGTCTTTTAAAGGTCATTCACTTGATCGTCAACAAAGATCAAACATGTGGAGTTCCGGGGCGGTACATCGGTGAGAATGTTGTTGACTTTGCAACACCTTCAGGTTACCCTGTTGCCACTCTCTTCCTCGATCAAGAGAAGGCTTTTGACAGGGTTCATTGGGGCTTTATGTTAGCCACCTTAAAAGCTACGGGTTTCGGCCCCTCTTTCGTCAGCTGGGTGGAGCTTTTCTACCTTGAGGTGAGGAGCGCCGTCAATGTGAATGGTCACCTTACTCCTTTTTTTCGCCTGTCTCGTGGTGTCCGGCAGGGTTGCCCCCTGTCGCCACTTTTGTATGTCCTGGTTGCCGAGGTGTTTGCCGTGAATCTCCGTTCCAACCCTCGCATCTAGGGCATCTCCTTCCCCGGTGTCAGTTCGGTCTCCCCCATTATTCAATACGCGGACGACACGTCGCTGGTACTCTCCTCCGACGATTCCATCAAGGCTGTGTTTGAGGCTTTTGCCTTATTTGAAAATGCGTCTGGCTCCAAGCTTAACTTGGCCAAATCCTAGGGCCTTTGGCTTGGGGGCTGGAGCGGTCGCTCTGACCCCCCTGTCCTACTGGATTGGTCTTCCTCCAGGTTGAAGGTTCTTGGCGTCTTTATTGGCCCTGGGAACCTTGAAGAAGTAAACTGGCGTCCTCGGATAGATGCGGTGGACCATGTTCTCAAGTCTTGGCGTTCTCGTTCCCTATCCTTCCGTGGCAAGGCCCTTGTTATTAATGCTCTTGCGCTTCCCGGGTCTGGTATGTGGCCTCCCTCATCCATATGCCGGCCTGAGTGTGCAAGGAACTCTCCTCTCTGGTTTTTTCCTTCTTCTAGTCCGGTAAGCAGGAACTCGTTTCTCGCTCTGCTGTGACCCAGTCCCCTGTCTCTGGTTGTTTTTCTGTTGTTGATGTTCGTCTTAAAGTCTATGCTCTTCTTGGCCAGTGGGTGAGGATATTTGTCTCCTCGCCCTCTGGCTGGTGTGTCTCCTTGTCTTCCTGTTTTGTGTCGCGTTTTGGTGTCTATCCTCTTGATGTCTTT